ACTAAAGATTCCAGTGCAGTAACTGATAGACTGTATGGAAATGTATATGCTTACCCTAGATGGGGCCCACAGTAGCCATACCCACACAATTATTTCTATAGAGGGGAGATATTTAGGGCCATGTCAAGATTTTATTTGTATTCTTTTAATGTTTCAGAGCTGATAAGGATGTAAGCAATCTAGTTTAACCTCCTCATTATTCAGAGGAAGAAGTGGGAGCTGAGTGTGAATTATTCAGTTTGTAAGTGATGTCAGGACTCAAATCCCCACAGCTCCTGACCTGAATCTCTGCCAGGGATAATTTGTTTTTAATAGTTGTCTTTAGTTGGTAACAGTGTACTCAGAACAAGCAGTGAGTGTGCATATCCAGTGATGAACACAGCCTTCTTTATCACTTGACTTTTTGTTCTTACCCAAACCCTACAGGAAATACTTTGCAACATTTGAACAGTAATTTTTCATACACAATAATCTGGTTGTTGGTAAAATGTTTGTTAACTTACATAATGTGTTTGGTTGTCTTCAGAGTTTTTCCTCACTCTCCTCCCTATCTAGCATCACTAAGCTGATGGCCCCATATTTCTCTGGCAGAACCAGAAGATCTGAACTTGAAGTTACCTATCTTTCTCTAGTTTAAAAAGAAGATTTAAAGCTGGAAGTAAAGTGTTGGAAAATAGCATGGCATTATTCTGAAGTAGCAACAACTAAGTACCAAAGAGAGAGAATTTCCATTCTTTAGAAGAAGAGGAGACCAGGTTGGGTTGGAAGCTAATGGATGGGGGCAGGGGAGCTAATAATAGTAGTATTTATAGTAGAGGCAGTAGTGATAGTAGTTAGTAACCGTGGTAACAATATAGCACTAACTCAAAGAGCATAGTCTCCAAATCCTTGTATGCCAGTGTGACTCTTAGATTATCATCCTATCTAATAATAGACAAACATGGTAATTGACCATACCTTCGCTACGCCTCCCATCAGCTAATCAGCGAGATATGCAAATTAACCGCCAACAAAGATAGTAGTTAATTTGCATACGTAGGCAAGAAGTGGCGAGCAAAGACTGAAGGCGGCTCTGGCCGGAGCAGCGAGGTCTTTGATGGCGGCTCCGGCCGGAGCAGCGAGGGCTGATTCTGCCAGCAATTAGTTAAACTGGTATACACAACCGCTCAGTTAGAGCTTGAAAACTGCAGAAATAATTCTATCTAATAATAGACAAAGATTGAAATTGACCGTACCTTCGCTATGCCTCCCATGGCTAATCAGCAAGATATGCAAATTAACCGCCATCTTGTTGGCACAAAGTGGCAGAGCAAAGACTGAAGGCGGCTCTGGCCGGAGCAGCGAGGGCTGTGAAGGCGGCTCTGGCCGGAGCGAAGGCCTGGGTCCCGGGTGCTGGAGGAAAACCGGTCCCGGCAGCCAGGGTAAGGGAAGGCCTTTTGCATGAATCTTTTTGTGCAACAGGCCTCTAGTTAACTAATAAAAGTAAAAAATTAAAACATGGGTTTAGTGCATGTGAACTCTATAAGTGGAAGTTGTTATTGTAGTGTGGGTGTGGTAATATTAAATTATATCTTTGGATGGATTTATTACCACATTACTAGAATACATAAATTTAGACATATTAAGTATCATATAATGTTATCTTGCTAATCCTATATAATAAAGAGGTAATATGCAAATTAACCCTCATGCCCTCACAAGATGGCTGCCTATGACCAGGCCAGCAGCGGGGTTAGTGAGGGAGAACCAAACAACTGAACAGCAGGCTGCGTGGGGCGACCAGGCCAGCAGGGGGGTTAGTGAAGGATGACCAAAGACTGAACAGCAGGCTGAGTGGAATGACCAGGCTGGTGGGGGGGCCGGGAGGGGCAACCAGGCCATCCAGGGGCCAGTTGGAGGTGACCAGACTAGCAGGGGGGGCAGTAAGAGGTGACCAGGCCGGTGGGGGGCGGGGGGAGAATGCAAGAAAACATCCTATGTGTTTGAGAATTGAGTTGTTTCTGTGAATTTGTTTTCACTATAGACTTAGTGTATCACCTTAAAGCAAGCAGTGAAATGATGAAATTACTATGTTTCTTGTGATCTAGTAATAAATTGCTAATGACTTCTAGAGAGTTTCTTACCTGGCTATAATGGAAACTTTAAAATAATGTAAGGTGTCTGATTAAACAGGTTGACATAGTATAATACTATGCACATGTGTTTGGTAAGGCTTTGTTTTGGTCATTATACCTGATGATATGATGACACATAAAACCACCAGGTTCTAAGCATAGTAAAGAAAGAGAGAAGGAAGAGTTAAATTTTTAATAGTAATATTAAAATCTCAAATGTTCATAGTGTTTTTTTTATATTTATAATTTGGAAAGCACTGCTGTTAATATATATTTCATTTTACCTTCACTTATTCTTTCTCTAATTTCTTACTTTCTTTGTGTAGTTCTGAGTTTCTAACCTATATGTATCATTTTCCTTCACTCTGAAAAACTTTCAACGTTTCTTGCAAGGCATGTCTTCTGGCAACAGATTCCCTCAGTTTTTCTTTGTCTAAGTTTTTATTTTTCCTTTACTTTTGAAAGATGATTTCGCAGGATACAGAATGCTAGGTTTGTGAGGGTTTTTTTCCTTTCAATACTTTAAATATTTGAAATGCTTGTATGGTTCTTCTTGCATGGTTTCTAAGAAGTTAAATCTAATTCTGATATTTACTCCTCTGTAGATAACTGTTTTCCTCCTTTCACTTCTTTCAGGATTTTTTCTTTATTTTTCTGTTGTTTGAAAATTATATGACTAGGTGTAGTTTATTTTTAGCATTTATCCTGATTGCTATTCTCTAAGCTTCCTGGATCTGTGATTTGGTGTCCAACATTCTTTGAGAAACTGTACAAAATAAGATGAGAACCCGAAGTTTAGAGATAGACAAATGTCCAAATTTTATGAAGGAAAATGTAAGTGGATTTTGAATACTGTGTCATTGAACTTGACATGAATTCTATGCAAAATTCAAATGGGATTTTTTTTAATGACTTCTTTTTCAAAGTGTTAACATTGCTTACTAGTTGCCTACATGGGTTCCCAAAGAACAATTCCTGTCAGATTAAGCTTAATGGTCAAGATTCTTAGCTATCCTCTGGTTAAGATGTAGACAGGTGTGCCTGATGATTCGATTGCTAGGTGGATTGTGAGCTGGATGGACAGCTTTACCCAGAGAATACAGTTAATTGAATTGATACCAATATCAAAGGAGTTTGCTGCATTCTTCAGGGCTCAATCCTGGACTTTGTTCTTTCCAGCATTTTTTATAAACTGAGCACATGAATGTCATTTTGTTCAGATTTTTAAATGACCAAGCAATGAAGATTAGTTAAGACATTGCATGACAGAATCAGTTCCTCTGAACATGTTATACACAACATACCAACAAATTGGATAAAAATAAAAATCTGAAATAAGTTCCTCAACTGCCATGAATATAATAGCACAAAAGAAAGTGATTGAGGGCTGGGTGTGAATTAGTGGTCTGCTGGGAGAGTCATGCTCTACTTATTACCCCATGTTTTCTGTATGGCTGTATCATGGAGAATAGGGTTAAGTGGATAGATGCTACAAGTTGCCTGAAGAGGCTGTTATAGCAACTTAAGTGTTCAGTTGAAAAGAATTACTTTGTTACTATAAATGATGCTTTCTTTAAAATTATTTAGCTAAGCAAGGTAAACTTATCTATACTGGAGATTGAAAAGTATAGAGTGTGAAGCATATTATGTTAAACTTCTGAAAATTATATATAGTTAAGGCTGATAATTTCTTATTTCAGCTGGTTATTAAAGAATTGATATCTGTGATGGTAGGCTAATTGCTTAAATAATTCTGACGGAGACAGTAGTTATTAAAAAGTATGGATAGATATGTGTTCTTAAAAATTATATATCTGTATAGCTAACAAAAAGTGAACTCAACTAAGTTATTAATTCTTTAGGTAGTTATAGAAGAAATGATCTTATAGGAATAGTTTGAGAAAGGAATGAGTGAGTGAATGTTTTATTTTCTTGGTTATAGAGAGGTAGACTTTTAAGTTAAGAATCTACCTAGTAAATACAGGGTTGTTGTTTCTTTATCCAGTCCCACATAGCATTTTTTTTGTATGAAAGAGAATGACGGTTTGGAATATGTAAGTGTGACTTGAGCTACTGAGAATTAGAAGAATAGTATATGTAAATTGTAATTGATAGTGTAGACTCAGGGGAAAAACATTATCAAATAACATTTCATTAGGCTTTCCTTGGTGCAGTGGTCTAATGCTCAGCAGTGTAGGTGAGGGGAGTAAACTGTACTCATAAAGACTTCCAAGCCTGCCCCACTTCTGCTAACAGGTGCACATTAACAGTAGCTAGCAAATAAATGTCAAAAGAAGTTATTTTTAAAAAGTGTCATTTCACATGAAGGAGTTAAATGGTTAAGAACAATTACATTAAGATTATATTTATACTAGAGGCCTGGTGCACAAATTTGTGCATGGGTGGGGTCCAGTTGGCCCGCCTCGATGGGGGCTGATCAGGGCCAGGCCAGGCCGGCTTGGGGTGGGGGGTTGTGGGAGGTCAGCCAGCCAACCCTGCCCCCGATTGGGGGGGGCAATTGGGGGCTGAACTGGCTGGGAGAGGAGTCGTGGGAGTTTGGGGGGGCCGATTAGGGCCCCCATTGGGCTGGTTGGCTGCAGCAGTGCGCCTCATAGCAACCAGTCATTCTGGTTGTTCCGCCATTCTGGTCGCTTGGTTTTCATATATATAGTCACTATTTTGAGGTACTAATATGTGAGGTCTGTCACTGTGAGCTCAATAATCATGTTTACTTGTATTTTTAATACAATAATAAATGTTCTAAGCTTCATTACACTATGCTTCATATACTTTATTACACTAACTTTATACAAAATCTGTATAATTGAGTTTTAAAGGCTTGATTGGTTTAAGAAAAATTAATACATCTGATTATTTACTTTAAAGCTACAGAAGAAAGAAGATCAGCAATTAGAACCTAAAAAAAGCACCAGCCCTAAAAAAGCTGCAGAGCCGACTGTTGATCTTTTAGGACTCGGTAAGTAATGAAAAGTTCAAGTCATCATTATAGTTACAAAACAATGGAAACCTTTACTTCAAATGAATATAATAGCTTTATTATCAGTATGCTAAAAGATAACTGTTAACTGAATTTGAAAATGTTATGATTACTTTGCTGAGTTCCCACAAAAACGGAAGTCTTTAATAAGGTTGCTAGTCTCTGTCAGCACTGTCTTCTTGGAAATCCAAGTAATGAGTTCCTTGGGGAAAGATATCAAAGTAACCTTCAAAGGCTTGGTAGGTGGTGACATTTCAACATTTAAAATAAAGAATAGATTCATTCCCCTCACCCCCTCTCTAATTGAGTCTGCGTTGGGGATGGGGGCTGAGGAGAGGTCCCTTAGCAAAATAATTCTGGGATAGCTTTGTTATAAAATGTGCTGGTGTAAAGAAAATTTAATCTTGATTAACTGAAGCATCACACTTTATACCTATATGTACCAGCTAGGTTCATTTTATATACCTGATGATCATAAGGCTCATTTTAATTTAATGTTGTATTTATTCTCATGGCTGATAGATATATGTTGTCTGCCTGGTAAGTAAACAGACTTTCATTTGAGGATTGCTTGTACTGTGCTTATATACCAATATTGTCAGCTCTTCTAAAAATTCTCTTCTAAAATAGCTTGATCAATGGTGATTTTAGTAATATTTGAGCCTTTAAGCAGTAGTTAATTAAAAACATGTTTTTTAGTTTGGAGAAAGATTAACAATTAAAAGAAAATAATGACAGTTGAAGGGTAGAGTTGAACTTCATACACTGCTTTTCTGAAAATTGATCTTAGTTCTTACTGAGTAAACTGTTTTAAGTTTCAGGAATTACAAGTGAACATTTTATTCATTTCTTAGGAAGCTGATATAACATGCAACTATACAACCTAGGGTTAAAAATCTCCTATGGTGGTAAAAATAAGCAGTGTATTAAAATATTTAAGAACTGTAATTTTGAAAATAGAGTTTAAGTCCAGGGCTCTAAATATAATTATGTTGAATTCTAGTCCTCATAATTTCTTTGAATTATTTCCTTTGATGTAGATTAGATAAAAGAAAAAGGACAGTACTAAAGTAAGAAAAAAAATCTTACTAAAACTATATGCATCTTTGTCCTCATTGCAGCATTTTCTTTCCAGTCTAGGTGCCTGGTTTATAACTTAGAAATGTAGAATATAAACCAGACCTGACTCTCTTCCTACAGACCAACTCACTCATTCAACAAATACTCATTAAGTGTCTATTATGTGTCCAGGCACTATTGTAGGAACTAGGGAGATAGCTATGAAAGAAAATAGATAAAAATGCCTAAGGTCTTTGTGCTTTCATTCTATCTGAGGAGACAGTGAATAAACAGTTCAGTAACATATATCATGGGTTATATGTGGTAAGTGTTATAGAGAAAAGAAGCAAAAATGAGTGGTTGTAATTTTAAATAAGGTTAGGTGTATTCACTGAGATATCATAGGAGCAAAGACCTGAAGAAACTGGTGCAAGAGCATTCTAAGTAGAGAGAACAGCAAGTGCAGAGCCTCTGCAGTAGCAGCTGACTTGATATGTGCAAGGACCAGCAAGGATGACAGTGTGGCTAGAGGGGAATGATCTGGGGTGGGGGAGGAGGGTTACAGTGGAAAGGAATAAGGGGTGAAGAGAGAGGCAGGCAGATTGCAACTTTGACTTTGACTTTGAGTGTCCTGGAAATATATTAGAAGGATTTGAGCAGAGAAGTACATGATCAAACTATTGTAGCTACTATGTTAAGAGTAAATTGTAGCAGGGCAAGGCTGGAATCAGGGAGACCAATAGGTGAGAGGTGAGGATGGCTGAGAGTAGGTGGTGGCATTGGGAGTTAAAAAGAGTAACCAAGTTCTGGATATATTTCAAAGATAGTGTCAATAGGATTTGCTGACCAATTGAAATTATAGGTTTATTTTGGGAATAAACATGTAGAACAGGTAAATCTGATTATTCAAGACAAGAAAAATTACTATAGCAGTGTCTTGAGCAAAAAGGGGAATGGGATCTAGTAGGCAAATGGAGCGACTGGCCTTAGTTACTCAACTGTTACTGGAATAATGTTGCATAGCAAATAACCCCCAAAGGTCAACTTATATCTCAGCTCTGTGGGTGAAGTCAACTAGGGCATCTCTGCTAGAACATTTGATGTTTTCTGCCTTTCTCACAGGAATAAGTGTTTCCTTGCCTTCTTAATCTCAAAGTCAGTACCAAAGGTTTTAGGGCTTGGTGATTGCTGCCCATGCTACATAGCAGACAATGCCAAAGTCTCAGTGGCTTGTATCAGTTAATGTTTATTTCTCTCCCTGCAAATCCTGAGACAGCTCTCTTTTAGACAACAGGAAAATTTCAGGAAATGGTCTTGAGGGGAGAACTTATGCTCATTTAGGGCATGAAGGTAAAGGGAATGTTTGAAGAAGAGGTTAAGGATATATAGAGGAATTTGCTGGTGACTGACAGTTTTAGATCATACACTGGAGGGGTCTCAAAGGTGGGAGGAGGGGTGGGAGATGGGGTCAGAAAGAAGGATAATTTGCTGATGGAGTTTCAGCAGCAGAAAACTAGGAGTGTCTTACGCAGAGCACATACAACTCTTCACTCATATTTGTTATCAGTATCCTAAATTCTTTTAAAAAATATTTTGAGACATTTTTAAAAGCAGTATTATACATGAGATTTGATAAGTTCATGAAAGCCTAGGAGACCACAGAGAATCACAGGTCTCTTTCAGCTCAAAACATACAGTGGTCCTAAATTAGGCTTTATTATTGGTATCTATCTACCTTGGGCAACCGACTGTTTTTCTGGCTAAGCATGCCACTTTCCCCTAATGGGACTCTGGTTTCCCCCTGTAAATAGAAACATGGTAAGGAGGAGGGAGCAGTATGATTTATACTCATGCAAAAATGACAGCCCTAACCGGTTTGGCTCAGTGGATAGAGCGTCAGCCTGTGGACTCAAGGGTCCCAGGTTCGTTTCCAGTCAAGGGCATGTACCTTGGTTGCGGGCACATCCCCAGTAGGGAATGTGCAGGAGGCAGCTGATCAGTGTTTCTACTTCTCTATCCCTCTCTCTTCCTCTCTGTAAAAAATCAATAAAATATTTTTTATTAGCGCTTGTGCATTGCTCATGCATTTGTGGTGTAAACAAACCTGCATTGCCAATCATATAAAAGTAGGGCAGTAGGCTGTACCATCTAGATTTCTGTAAATACACTCTATGATGTTTGCACAACAATAAAATCTCCTAACAACACATTTCCCATTGTGAAGCAGTATATAGCTGTATATAGCTATAATTAGATCTTCCCTTTAAATGAGACTTTGGTGAGCCCACACTCTTAACTTCAATCTGATGACTCAAGCTAATCCTACTTTTTTCACCTCACTTTTCCTGGTCTACTCCCAATCCCAAGACAAACATAAAATGCTCTCTCTATACTTTTTAGCAAGGATCAGCATTTTTTTGTTTTGTTTTGTTTTCCTGAAAATGGCCAAGTATGTTGACTTTTCAGGCCATGTGGTCTCTGTTGTAAACATTCAGTTCTCCCATTGTGTGCAACTATGTCATTCTTCATTTCTTCTTGGTTCTTTTTCATTTCCTCTTGATTCTTACACATCTTGTTGAATTTGTCTTCCATCCTTTTCACTATTGCTCTGAATTCTTTCTCTGACAAATTGCTTGCCTCCATTTCATTTAATTTATTTTTTAGTGATTCCTCCCTTTCTTTCGTATGGGAGCCTTTCTTTGTCACCCCATTTTTGCTCCTCTCAGGGTGTCTGGTTATGTGTCTGACTCTTTACCACTCTGACCAAAAGGCACAAAATACAACTCATCAAGACACGATACAGAGGGAACAAAACACGAATGTATTCATGACAGCGCTAACCCCAAATAAAGATGTCCACCAGAGAAAAGAGAATTAGGGGAGAGAAAAGAGTGCAAAAATGATATTGAGAAAAGGAAAAGGTAAGAGAGAAAAAAAGAGAAGAAAATAGAAGGGGAAATAACATATGGGGAGAAAACTCCACAAAAGCACCAAATAAACTAAAAAAATGCAACCAAAAACACCCAGAAAAAAAGGGGGGAGCTGAATCTGAAGAGGTAGAGCTTATTTCAGAAGGTAAGGTAAAGGAATTGAATGAATGTGGGGGAATGGCTATGATTGAGTATAGAGGAGGTAGAAAGAGAATGAGTGTATAAGAGGAAAAGTAAAAAACAAAATAATAAAATAAAAAAATTAATTTAAAAAATATAAAGTATATATATAAGAAGAAAATTTCCCCTTTCTTTAATCTATCCATCTATTTTTGGAAAAGAAGAATATAGAATAGAGAGCAGATAGGTCTGAGTTTTGTGAGTGAAACTAAGCAATTAGTTAAAGAGAGTAAGGGAGGAGAGGAAAAACAAAAGCATAGAATAAAAACAAAAACACACAAAAAAAACAACAACAAGAAAAAAAATTGGCTATTGCAGAAAGAAAAAAGAGAAGGGTATATGGACTTGGAGCAGGAGAGAGGAAATTATATATATAAGTAAGCCAACAGAGACTACTATAATAGTAATGCTTCAATAAAGCAGATAAAGAAGGTCAATTTTTAATGAGGAGTAAAAAGAGAGAAAAACTAAAGCAGGGACATGAGAAGAGAAACAGGATGAAAAAGGGAGAAGTGAGGAAGAAAAGGTTGGCAAAAAGGAAAAAAATGAGATAAAGTAAAATAATGCTTAAAAATAAAAATAGAATGTAGAGCACTAATCCAAAAGAAGTAAAAGGTTAAAAAAATTCCTATATAATAAAAGGCTAATATGCAAATAGACCGGTTGGTATGATGTGCACTGACCATCAGGGGCAAACTCTCAACACAGGAGTTGCCCCCTGGTGGTCAGTGCACTCCCACAGGGGGAGTGCCGCTCAGCCGAAGCCTCTCCCACCACCACAGCAGCGCTAAGGACTCCTCGGGGGATGTC